AACTTCACTTGGAAGTAAAATTGCCAATCGGAGACGTCTAGAAACACAAAGCACCACAGTGCTGCCAATTAAGCTACTAAATCCACGCCATGTCCAGCCCCCTTAAGTGATAATATTACAGCATGAAACATTAAAGTACCACAGGCTTTTTAAGCGTGTACACTGTTCAAGTTCTTAAATTAATTTAAATCCTTTTTAAGAGTGACTTACTGGGTACTTGCTTGATAATTTTCTTGTCCAGATCCAGCCAAAACTACAACATATAAAATCGATCCCAATAACTAGCATGTTAAATAATAACAATCATTGATCAAACATAATTATCTCCTCACAAACAAGTAGGGTAAGCATGAACAATTTGTCACTTTTGTGGTTGCAACTGAGTGTTTAAGTGAAATATTTAAATAGCAAATCAAATAAAATTGAATTTGATAGCGGGTCTTGTCGGTTTTTAAGACAAATTTATACTTCAAAAAGAAGCGCAAATACGACCTCAGTTGCAAAGAACTCACAAAAATAGATTTCTAGAGAGATCAGTATGTCTTGTTGCCCCTGACATAAAAGTTAGACTTTATACTAAATTACGAACAAATTTGCTGCAGTCTGAAAAAAAAACGAAATTAAAATAAAATGCTTATTAAACATGGTTACGCGTACCCAAGTTCCCAGTTTTTTGTCAGTGTACGTAATTCCGAAGTAGTCAGTTTCAATAATATCCTGTCCATCACATATGCGTTTAATCAGTTCAATTCCAAGAACGCGCTTATTCACATTTAAGGACACCTCCTCGCCATCTAGTAGCAAAACAAGTGCAGACACGGTATCAGTGAGAGATGTTGCATGTCCTCCTGCAGCTCCTACATCCTGATTGCCTGTTTGTTGGTTCTTATTTCTTCGAAACGAAGCCAAAAACTTTTGGTAGAGGCCGTTAACACCGCTCGTGTTTCCTGTTTGCTTTACGGGAGACGACTCTACTTGGGGAGTCCAAAATCGTGGTTTGGACAAAGACTGAGATCGTGAGCGCAGCGCACTTTGATTGCGTGCACGAGGAAGTGGAGTTCGATCGCCTGCAGCACTGTTGTCAATTGACAACGCACTGCCAGCTCTCAGTGTACCGACGTAATCATTTTGGGTCTCATGCACCTGACCACTAATTTCAGCGTTCCAAGGTTTGTAGGAACTGGAATTATAGTCATAGTGTCTGTATGCCTGCTGCATGGCTTTTCCTGAGGGACCAACAGGCGGCCTGCTAGAAAGGCGAGAGCTTTGAAAAGTACCGTTGCTTGGAGATGGAGACGCTTGAGATCCACGAAGACCTGGAAACTGTTAATAAGAGCACACTGAGTGATCAATTAAGAAAATTATCTTAAAATACATGTTGCAAGCGGTTAGCCAAGAATTGTACACGATTATTTTAGTAAGCAGTTTGGTTAGGGATGCGAATCAGCCTAAACTTGTAACAAACTTTAATCAAGAATTCAACTTAATCACGTTTTTTCTTCCAAGATGGGCAGGGGAAACCATTTTCAAATATTGCTTAAGCACGCCACTGCTACACCTATAAATAAATTTACAAAGCCGGAGTAAACGATCGTTGGTTTATCAGAAACGACATATAAATACCATTAAAGTTAATAATAAAGCATGCACTACCTGCCAAATAGTGTTGTTTTTAAATATTACTAAAAGATTATTAAAATAAAAATCCACAAATTACCTAAAAGCTAATTTATCAACTTGAATCCCCATAATCCAATGGTGACATATTTCTAATGTTAAGGACTGAGACTCCATATAAAATTTAGTAAGCAGTCGCCGAATTAACTCCCTTACAGATTGTTTTACAAATATAAACCACGAATTTTTTAAGGCAATTTAATTGTGTGGGAAATATGATCGATATGGTTCCTTAATCATCACACCCGAAAGTCCGTTTAATGCTAGCAACTAAAGCATTATAAAAGTTTTTTTTTACAATAACTGCATGTTATGGCACATAGACATTTCCAAAAATGCTTTGTCAACACGCAATCCCACCACATGTCCTTACCTCAAGCCACAATTTTCAGAAATTGCGGTATTTATCTCTAGGTCGCTCCAGTAAAAACTAAGCAAAAAGTCCTCTGATTTATCGGTAAAACTTAATTAAATTACAGTAGATCAGACAGTAGATGATGTATGGAAGCTATTATCATTAGTTGAAAGTTTATGACTTCCTTTTATAATGCCATATAGTGGAACCTGGCACAAATAAAAAACCAATATCGCTCTCTGCTATTTCATGCAAAAAATAATAATTTATTTTTAAAAAAATAGGAACCAAAAAGCATATTTGTTGTCATAAAGATCGCAGTTAAGGGAGTGTGTTGGGATTTCAAAGAGGGAGAAGATTAGTACCCACACTCGAATTAATCAAGACGACGTGGATGTACTTAGTTATTTTACTTACTAAGGTTTTAGAAGCAAGTGATCAAAAAAAATTATGAAAAAGGTACAACGGAGATTCGATTTGAAATTTAAGGATTCAAAAATAATATTTTTTTGAACTATAGAGAATTAGCTCTTATTTATAATAATTATTTACAAATTTTAGTTTAAGAAACACACCTAAATATGATCTTTAATGATTTAACCGAAAGTTTTAGACAATAGGCTCCTGCTCACTTGCGTTTAATCTAATATTAATTAAAATTTAGAAATAAAGGGTTAGATAGGTTGCTGTGTGTAGATATTCCCATCTCTTGCACCTCTTCTAACGAGTAAATATTCCACTTAATATTTAAAGAAATCCGCTGTAAAATTTCAATAGTCAACTTAAATGCATCTGACTACTTGCGTATTTTCAACCCCACACTTAAAACAGAAATGTCGCAGTTGATTTTCATTTATAACCGATTTAAAATCGCTGCTTCTGATTCAAAATCATTATCGAATTTTGATATTATTCTTTACCCCCTCACAAGCAATTTGCTGAATTAAACACCTGAAAAGACCTGCAAGGTATTTACGAGGTATCTGTAGAAGAAATTCAGTCTACTAAAGAACTCGCTTTGAATGTGAATGCTCACGATGGACACTTACGCTGTTGCTGGGTGCTGTGTTGTCTGTTTCTTGCTCCACTACAGCCGTACCAGTTTGGTGTTTGGAATATCAAATGCTATTGGGTATCGGCCACAGAATTAAGCCTGAATGTGGAAGTAATAAACCTACTCACCGATGATGCTGCAGGTTAAGTGAAGTGTAGTTTGTGAATTTGATGCACACCTGCCCTTTATCGGCTTCTGCTTTTGCAACAATGCCATCTCAATTATTCCTATCATATTGAATTTTGTGGATGTCAGCCGGAATGAAAACTATATTCGAGTTAACCTTCACCTATTCGTCATGCAGATTGCCTTCCGTTACGTAGCCTTGTAACGATCTAACGCCTGGACATAAGTCATTTAGCACTCGACCACCTCCAAGGACATAGTTATCAGATTGACAGCGGTTCGCCCAGATAAATTGTGCGTTCCAAGTTGGTTGGATTAATGACTCAAATTTACAGCCACATTGGCCTCGAGCACATTCAAACCTGTGCAATTTTACGTGCTAGTTGGTCGGTAATATGTTGATAATACACACATTGTCTCCGATGGGTGTCAATTGATCAGGAATTGTCCTCACTACGGAATCGCATAAAGTCTGGACTTGCTTACTCTAGTAAACATTAAGTCGCGTACATCGGTGCTAACGTACACTCTGACTTCTCACAAACACTCTGCTTCAACACATACACACTAAATTTAAACTCTAGTCATTAAACAAAGGTATTTCCAAGCCAAAGCTTGCAAATATGTGGTCATTAGAATGGTACAAATATTGATTTTTTAAAATTCTCCTTGAAGAAAAGCAGCTGCCAAGGATTGATGTACCTGCATCAAATGATCCTATTAAACTCACAGCATACACAGTCTTATGAAACATAGCACGAATTGCAGGCAATGCATGTTAAAGGGTTAATTTATCATAGCAACTTTCAATTCAATCCAGAAAGGTGCTGTTAATTGCATTTTGTGGAAGACACGTTTGCACGAAGGATCCCGGCTGGCATAAGAAAGAGCGGATTGGTTCCTAGGAAGTGTGTACCTCGATTCTGCTTATTTGATGATGTTTCATTGAACCTCGTTAGTGGTTCTGCAAAATTAAACTACTGCTTAATACGGATGCACTACTCAATTTACGTCGCCTATTTGTGGTATGTTTGTACTTCATGTTTGCATAAACGGGTGAAAAGTACATCTCAGTTTTGTAACGTCACACCATTAATATCCGCACTGTTCGACCCACATAACGATTGAACTTTAACATCAATGTGTTCAGCAATTCACATAAAGTAAATGCGAGCATGGTAAATGCCCACCCTGTTAACCGAACAACTGGCATATCAATGTGTGAGTAGCACTTACCTCGAACATCAAAGCATCATGATGGTAGAATTCAAACGGACAAAATGTTGGACGTTCACTTTTATCCAGCACCATGCCTACGATCAGGTGGACGAACACCAGACACGAATAGTGCACACAAATTTTCATTGGCAAATAGGTCTTTTCATTTGGTCACATTTTATGCTATATATCCCCCCAAAAGGGAATGCATTTTGGGTAGCTACATATATACAGCACTCAGCACCAATTTCATTCCATGATGGGAAACCTCATTTTGTTCATCGTCGAGATCACTTGCTTGCTACTTAGTAAAACATTTGGTCATAACGGTGGTCGATGTGTCACAGCATCATAGACGAGTATCTAAGTTGTTGAATAGACTATTGTACAACCAAGAACGTAGAAATCACCATGAACTACTACGTATGCGTGTCCTTAATGACAAGCCTATAAAACAAACAGCACAAATTAGTAGCAGATCAGCAGGAGGCCTAGCAGACGCAAACGAATCAGTTACAGGCATGAACAGCAATGTAAGGTGACGGCGTGCACGTCGAATCAATAACCCAGACTATAATCATTTGCGTTGCGTTAGTAATTGCTTTTGGGCAAATAATCTCCCCTGGTTAGCCAGCACCATATCTTAGGCCCTTCTAATACAATGTAGTATTCTGCCACTAATTGCATCATCCCTTTGAGCATCTCGCTCTCCTATTCACAGGCTAGAGTGGTCATAAGCGTATTACGGAAGGTGTCAAATTGTTGGTGCATATTGACTGGCACACAGCTCAGGGTTCATAAACGCCCTGAACCAAAATCAAAGTTTAAATCAGACAACCGACGCTTTAAAGAACGTGATGCGATGCCTTGCGTGTTTGCAACATGCCCTGTTAAGACTTACGAAATTTACTGCCTAGAAACCAGTAAGACAAAATTAGGGGAACAACGAGACACCGTATCGTAGGTGGTCGTGATCCAAGGACTGCAAAATGATGCGCCATTGCTAGAAGACGTCCTTCATTCTAGTACACTACTGGCAAATTCTATTTATACTGGTCTTCTTCAATCAAAGCAGTGCACTTTAGAGTCATTAAGGCTTCGGTTACCATCCAACAACAAATTGCCTTTGGTTTGATTGACTTTACTAATGCTTCAGCATCCCTCGACTACTTGGTAATTGTGACTAACTTTACACGTCAGTGAGGCCTGGGAATAGGACACGTCCTTAAGCGTAACCAAGATGAGACAAGGTGTTCCTTCTTCGAAATATTCACACGGGTTATCGTTTCATTGCATAAATTTCAGCAGCTGTGAACCACGCAGTAAGTCGTGAGGATGGCTTAGATAAGCGTGGAAAATACCCCTCACGTCGTGCCTCAGATCGTGGCGTACGATCCGATATGCCCAGACCTACTGTGCCGCATACACTTCATACGTCCCAATCAGAGTATAAGCAAGTGAACTGTCATGGTGTAATTTGCACATCCAAGCTGTTGCATTTTACAACGACTACCAAGGAAATAATCGTAGCTAGATTATTCTCACTTCAACTCTTATCTGTGCACATGACCAAGGTAGTGTCCGTCAATACCTGCAACTTGATTTTGCGTATAAAATTGAACCCAACTGTGCCAATTAGAAACTACTGTTGCCAGTACTGTGCTAAGGAATGTGTCTTGACAGTCATTCAGGTTAGTTCATTTCATGGCGCTGAAAAGAAACGCGATTAATTTGTGTCATTTTATAAGAACAAGCTTTTTTTGATTAAACACACTAAGTTGACATTGAATAGCTTGCTTCATACATTACTATCATGAAACCCCATCTGCGTAAATTCAGACGTACATCTACTCCGTTTCAATCAGAATAAAAAACCAAGCAGACCACAATGGTCCAAGCATCCTGACAGGGATTGTGGCCACGGGTAATCGTATCTCACTTGCAAAGTGGTCTGTTTCCTAAACTACACGACATTGTCTTAGCTATCGAAAGCTACCAGAATGCCAAATCCGATGCATGTTTCGCAAGAGACCAGTCATTATTTTGTCAATGCAATCATATATTAATAGCAAGAATAATTTATAGCAGACACATAGATGGTTACATGCGTGGTTTGGGTTTTGCAGCAGCATCTTCTACATTTTGAACACTTTTTCCAGCCGCGTCTTGGACATCTTCCTTTGAGCGTCCGCCAAGCTTTAACCTTGATTCGGCTTCCGGAACACGCCCACGAGCAAGTTTATCCAGGCCAAATTGCCTCAGGATGTCATCTATTTCTTTATCATCCATGCTGGACCTAGTGGACATTTGTGAGGCTAGCACAACACAAACTTACCTTATCGTAACTTAATCGCAAGTAGGTGCAAGTATGCGCAAAACTGTACCTAAGCGGCCTTTTATATTCCATTTGGGATCATGTGAACTAGTACTGTTTGTACACGCGCAGTCAATTAACTATACACCGGTGCAACTCAGTTTGTTTGGTTTTTTGTGGGTGTGTGCTAATCAAAGCTAATCACAGGTGTTCTCTCTACAAAATTAATCAGGTACAATGCAGTTAATGAGTTCATTGATGACAAATCATCCTTCGCGTCAATATCAAAAGTACAAACCATTGTTAAATTTCACAGCTGCACATCCTAAAAAATGAGGAAACAAGGCGTAAATGTGCACGAAATAGCTTCTCATGTTTTGAGCTCTCGTGCCAATGTGATTTTAAGTCCAACCACCTACTTACCTTTCGCACACTGATCAAACCTCTCAGGTTTCGAGAAAGTAGTTTTATACGTGTGTGCTGCAGATTAGATTTACTTCAAATTTGCACCAGTGAAACATAACCTGCCAAGATGATTTGTTGCCCAACAGGTTAATTTGTTGTACAGTAGTCATTTTCACACTCCAGTGTTTTACTAATTCCATCGGATCGGTTTATTTTCTTGGTAGTTTTCTTGTGCAGAATTGCTAACTAGTAGAATAGAATGAATCAGGGTCACTATGTAACAGTGGATGCCTAACAACTGTCCACTTCGACTTCTTCAGCTTTGTCAATGTCTGTTTAGCCACATGAGGCCAAGTGATATCGTGGTGTCAGATAGTGTATGTGTGGTCGACAACATCTGGATTCTCTGCGAAGAATTGACAACTGAATCGGAGGAACTGCTTTCAGTAGAGATGTGCAGTTATTCTTTGGCCAGAGTTCAGCAACGTGCACAAAATTACGCTTGCTGGACATGTTTAACTGAATCCACTTTGTGCTTTTCGAGCTTTCACCATTACTCCGTAAAAAGGCATTGTCTAATTAACTGCAATACCGTCTAACTTGAAAGTGTGAATTTGAGCTCTTGAAAATGATATGACGGCCTTGTGGCTCAGACTTCCACGCCCATCACAAAACTCTGTTAAAAACGTGTGAGAAATCTAATTTATTATCGACTTAAAATCTCTGTTTCACATTGACAATCATTAGAATATATTTTAGTGTTCCTTTACGTCTTCAAAACTATTGGCTAAATCATACACCCCATGAGACCTATAAGGCATATTTAGAATATCTGTAGAAGACCTACTGTTTACTGAAGCATTCACTTTGGTTGTGAATGTTCACGATGGGCACTTACTTAGGTGGTGGGTGCTCTGTTGTCGGTTTCTTGTCCCACAACAGCCCTACGGGGTTGGTCTGGTAAAATATCAAATGCTTTTCGGTAACAGCCACGGAATCGAGCCTGTATCAGATGATACGATTAATACCCAATAATACTGCAGGTTAAGTGTAATGTGGCTTCTAAATATGACACGCATATGCCTTTTATCATCTTCTGTTTTTGCAACTAGGCCTCTTCATCACTTCCTGTCATTTTGAAATTTAGGGATGTGAGCGAGAAAACGGACTGCATTATGGCTTATGGCCAACTATTCGTAGTCCTGTTACTAACTTCCGCCTGAACATAACTTATTTAGCACTTAACCACCAGTATGGGCATAGTCCTCAGACTGATAGCGGTTTGCCCAACTAAATTGTTCTTTCTAATTTGGTTGGAGTCATGACTCACATTCACAGCTATATTGGCCTCAAGCGAACGCAAACATGATTAATTTTACGTGCTAAGTAATACTTCCGGTTGGTCTGTAACATGTTGATAATATACCCAGTGCCTCGTAGGGATGCAGATTGGTCAGGGATTGTCCTCACTACAGAATCGCCCATGTCTGATCTTGCTTACTCTACTTGACATTTAGTCGTGTACATCGGTACTGCTTTACACGCAGATTTGTCACAAACACACTACCTCAACATACGTACACTGAATGGACAGTGCAGTCACAAAACAAGGGTCTTATAAAGCTAAAGCTAGCAATTTTGTGGTCACCAGAACGCTTTCAAGAGAGAGAAAGCTCAGTGTCCGAATATTGCTTGACTGATATTCCCCTTCAAATTAAGCACGTGCCTTAAACTGAGGTATCTTCATCTAATGAACGTCTCAAACTCACAGCAAACACAATCTTTTTAAACATAGCACGAATTTTAGTCAAAGTATGTTGGAGTGTTAATTAAGTTCAGCAACCTCCAATAAAGTTCGAAAACGTGCTGTTAATTAAGTTTTGTTGTGCAGGCCGCGTTTGCGTCACTTGTCCTAACTTAATCTTGCAAATTTGATGTCTTCTTCCGATGTCGAGTACTCATTAAGCATGGTTGACTGTGGCACAAGTAAGTGCATTCCCAAAATACACAAAGGATTCCGGGTGGCATAACAAAGAGCACACTGGTTCCGAGGAAATGTGTACCTTGATTCTGCTTATTTGATGATGCTTCATTGAACCTCGTTAGTGGTTCTGCAAAATTTAACTACTGCTAAATACGGATGCACTACTCAATTTACGTCGCCTATTTGTGGTATGTTTGTACTCCATGTTTGCATAAACGGGTGAGAAGTACATCTCAGTTTTGTAATGTCACACTATTAATATCCGCACTGTTCGACCCACATAACGATTGAACTTTAGACGTCAATGTGTTCAGCAATTCACATAAAGTAAATGTGAGCATGGTAAATGCCCACCATGTTATCCGAACAATTGACGTAGCAATGTGTGAGTAACACTTTCCCCGGACTCTAAAGCATTATGATGTTATAATTCAAATTGACAAATTCTTCAAAGAACAAGATATAGATTTAGGTGAACATAATGGGTAATGGCTTTGTGTTTCTGCGAATGCAACTGTATTCACAGACGAACGTGCCAGTGGTCGATTTTGCAATTTTGACTTAAGAGGAAACGTTGTTTTAGAAAGTTTTAAATGCACAGTGGTCGTTAAAACTAAATTATCCATCGTCAATTGTGGCATCTGTATATTTTTACACGCAGGTGCTAAACATTACAAATGGCAGTCAATGAATCTCGCTTTTAGTCTTGCTTGCTCTCAAATAATTCCTGAATTTTGTGCACAAGTTCTTCGATAACTTGTAACTTAGCCAACAGTTTTAGCTCAGTAGTTGCGCAGCCAGAACTTTGTCTCTCCAACCATTGACACAATTAGCAAAGAATTCTGGTGTTGCTAATGAGATGGACGTTCTTCGGATCACGAGTGAGTTCCGAGATACTGGTGGCGAGAGATTAAATTGACGGTGTATTAAGAAGAGCAGCGTGAGAACTCCGACGATCTCTCATCATTTAAACCAACTTCCCCTTATCGCTCATCTCACCTGCGTCGCCCATCGTTATGCTTCGACCGCTTGCACAGCCACGCCCGTAGATAATCGATAACCCAGAACCCTTCTTTGACCCAAAACTTCACCATTATACGCTAGTGTAAGAGAGGACATGACTTCGTGCAGAGAGCTTATAATGCATCAGCTACAGGCCAAGTGATCTGTCAGATTGTGTCCACTTATGGAAATTAAGACTAACCTTGACTTGATTGATGAAAGCCAATTAACACAGATGGACCTGCTAGTAGTGTGCTGTGGGTGACTCACACACCTTAGTAGCAATGTTAGAAGAATTGTGTACACATTGAAGAAATGTTTACCTGCGATGAGCCGTCTTCACCAATGCTGGATCCCCAGCATTGACTTGTCAGAATGCAGCCAAAATTGAAATGACTTGCAAATGAAAGCCGTTGCATCGAAACCAACAGCAACGGCTATTGTTAGTCTGAATTTGGCAGGACTCACGTCCGACTTCTAACTGATAATGTTAGACTATTTCAAACACACGTTTTGTGATGCAACTGCTACCATTCTGTTGGTGTGGGATATTGGTGTTCTTCCATGTGTGCATTCAAGACAGTAATCGATCCGGTTAATAGACAAATTCAGTCATTGGCTTTCTCCCTTTCAAAAATGCAAGCCAATAAGGATGAGTGCGACAGCGAATTCCTTATTCAGTTGACTGTCTACACTTAGCCTATTGAATGGTAGATAGAGATCTAACTAAATGCCACCTTAAACACACATGATTCATCTGATCAAAACAGGAGGTGTCATTGTTGGTGGTAAGCGCGTCAAGTGTTCAGCAGTTTAATCGTCTAAACATGTGTGCGTACAATTAACATTAGACTAGCACTAACTCCGCGGCTACTACCGTAAGGTAGTAAAATGACTAACTTCTCTTCATATTGAAAATCATCTGTTGGCATACGCGGCTGATTCCTGAAGACAATACTTCAAAGCCAAGGTCAATGTGTCACAGCATTAAAGGCGAGTGTTAACGTTGATGAGTGGATGCTTAAACTTCCAAGATGGGGAGATATCTGTGGAACACAACGTAAAAGGCAAAGGCATCAAAGGGTGCCGGTGCGATGAGGTTGAGCTGGAGATTAGTGGCTGAGATTTGTCTAATATTTTGTAGTAACATTATATAGCAAAATGATCGTAAATGCTCAAGAAGCTTTTTGTATGCATACAAGAAGTCATGTGTGTCTTCTTGAACCGTCTCTTTAGGCACTTAGGCCTTAGATGTGGTAGGCAGAGGCTTTCATCTTTTGTTGGTGCACATTGACTTATATGCTGCGAAAGTTTCATAAATTTCCTTAGCCAAAATCAAAGTTTAATTCTATAAACGGCCGAGGTAAGGAGAGAGATATGATTTCTGCGAGCTTACCGAATGCCCTCTTTAAAGTAACGACAATTTCAGTGTTAACACCATTTTGTCCGTTGTCCTGATCCAAAGAGTGCGCAATGATGCGCCGTTGCTAGAAGTCGTGCATCATTCATGAGTTATCCTCGATCGGAACCAAAGTTTAATTTTATAAACGGGCGATGTAGGGAGAAAGAAACGAACTGGTGCGTGTTTACAAAATGCTTTGT